ATGGGGGACAACAGGCTTCAGCTGAACCCTGGTAAGACGGAGTGGCTGTGGATATGGGGAGCCTCAAGATCTAACCGTTTATCTTTGGTTCTTGTGGGGGTCACACTACTCCAGACCCGGTGCATAATCTGGGGGTCCTCCTGGACTCACGACTCCTGTTCAAAGAGCAGGTGGCAGTCATGGCTAGGAGGGCCTTTGTGCAACTTTGTGTTGTGCAGCAGTTATACCCCTTCCTCGATCAGGAGGCCCTCTGCAGGGTCACTCATGCCCTGGTCACCTCCCGGTTGGATTACTGCAATGCGCTCTACATGGGGCTACCCTGGAAGAGTATCCGGAAGCTACAGCTGGTGCAGAATGCGGCAGCATGGACAGTTCTGAATGCCCCCGGAGGGCCCATATAACACCTCTGTTACGTGAGCTGCATTGGTTGCCGGTTTGCTTCCAGGTCCAATTCAAAGTGTTGATCATCACCTTTACAGCCCTTCAAGGCACAGGACCAGGTTATCTGAGAAGCTGTCTCTCCCACCCCACTTGGTCCAGCAGAAGGGGCATGTTGCAGGCCCCACCAGTCAAGGGATTTCGACTGGTGGGTTCTAGGAAGAGGGCCTTTTCTGCTGTGGCCCCCACTCTGTGAAACAACCTACCTCCCGAGGTGCCCCCACTCTCATGGCCTTCAGGAAAGATGTGAAATCCTGGCTATGCCAGAAGGCCTGGGGGCCGGATGGGGGCTCGCACCAGTGGAAGTGGTTTGTGGGCTAATTGACTTTGCCTCCCCCCCGTCATCTTGAATATTTTTAGTATTTATGTATAGGGTTTGTTTTTATCGTTGATTTTTAACAGATTAACTCATCTTAATTATTTATGCAGTATTTTTAATTGTTTATGGGTTTTTTATTTTAATTGAGCCGCCCAGAGTCACCCATTGTGGGAGATGGGCAGCATACAAATAATAAATAAAAAGAATAAGTAAGTAAGTAAGTCCTGAGCCATGAGGGCTTTGTAGGTAGCCACCAGCACTTTGAATTGCACCTAGAAGCAAACTGGCAACCACTTCAGCTTGAGAAACAGAGACGTTACATGGGCATACTGAGGCATGCCCATTACTGAACGTGCTGCTGCATTCTGGACCAGCTGAAGCTTCCAGGTGGTCTTCAAGGGCAGCTCCATGAAGTCTGCATTGCAGTAGTCAAACTGTGAGGTGACCAGGGCATGCGTGACTGTGTGAGGGGCCCCCTAATCTAGGAACGGCACAACTGGCGGACCAGATGAAGCTGAACAAAGGCTTTCCTGACCACAGCTGCCACCTGCTCATGAAACAGGAGTGGTGAGTCCAGCAAGACCCCCGAATTCTGCACTGCCCTTGAATGAGGGAGTGCCACCCCATCCAAGGTCAGACCTGAAATATCCCCAGATCTGGGTGATCTAAACACCCATAGCTGCTCGGTAAGATTGAGTCAGGGATGGCTCTTCCCCATCCAGCCTCCAGGGACTGGGAAAGAACCTTGATAGCTTCACTTGGCCGGCCCAGAATAGCAAGATATAGTTGCGTGTCATTGGCATCCTGCTGATGCCAAACCCCAAAGCAGTAGATGATCAGTTTCACTGTGTCCCTTGACTTTCATGACTAAAGCTTGGACATCATTTACTTTTTCAGCTATCCAAGTCGTGTCATCAACATAGTTAATGATGTTTCTTGCATCAGATTTAAACCCATGCTGATCTTCCAGTTCAGCTTCCCACAATATTTATTTCAGCATGTAGCTTGAGTAACTAAGGCCAGCATATATAGCCTTGTCAAAATGGAGCCAGTCTTGTTTCATCGTGTTCCGTCCAGACTGACTTCCCTATGTGTATATAGACTTTGCATGAGGATAAGAAGATATTCTAGGATTCCCATTTTCCTAAGCACATTCCACAACTTGACATGGTGAAAAACCAGGAAGAATGTTGGCTTGTAAAAGTCATGGTCTTCATTGTCTATACAATGCTTAGAGGAGGGGAATAAACAAGACGACTTTGAGCTGTTAGTACAGGCGATCAAATATATATACCCAAATATACATGGGGTCCCTAGTTGGGTGAGCCCCATGATTGGAATACAACAGCTGAAGGTTGTTATACAAAAAGAACAGAAGCACAGAAAGGTGGGTGTACCCTCACCTCTGAGCATGAAACTGAGCCAACTCAGGGAGGCAGTGAAGGACAGGAAGGCCTGGCGCAATATGGTTCATGGGGTCACGAAGAGTCAGACACGTCTTAACGACTGAACAACAACAACCCTCACCTCAGAAATCGAAGCAAATGAAGTTGATTAAAGCAAATACATGTAGGCTAAGTTCATGGCTGCATGTGGTGCTCCAGCATCTGCCACACCTTTCTCTTTACTAAAGCCTGAATTTTGCTGCTACTGGTGTCCCATCCCATCCCTCCTCTAGGTAATCCACTCCCAAGCACCCGGTAGATCTGAACATGGTCTCCCCAGCTAAGAAAAGTGTGCTCGATTGTAACTCTATTTGCAGCCAACATTGGGTGGGAATTCTATCGTGCATAGTCCACCCCATCTTGAGGCCACATATCTAGTTTGACAGCAATGAATATTCTGTACCTCAGCTTGCTTTCTCAGCAAGAGAGGGGTTCTTATCAGAGGGGCCACTGTTCTGAAATACTCGTACGTTCAGATCTTCAGATTTACCCACACAAGTTCCTAAGTTTCAGAAGTTCTACAGATTGATTGCAATGAAAATATAGCCCAGAATCCGCCCCTTTAGCCAGCTCCTCACTAAATTCAGTGTCTGAAAACTGAGATCCCTCCCCTCTCTTGAGTCTGTGAAGGCTGCCTCTTGATCCTAGTCCTACCTGGACACACAATCACAAAATGCCTTGCGCTGTTAGTGCTGAACGGTGTATGATGTTTGATTAAAATAAAACTGAAGCACATGCTCCTTTTAAGCCTTCTGAAGAAAAGGCTGGCTACTGTATGAACCAGAAGCACGAAATGTGCTTGGCAAAAATAACGGCCAATTAATGGCGCTACAAAGCATGAAGTCCACAATACGTTGTGGGGGGAGGGGAGGAAGAGAAAAATATCACAAATACAACTGGATCCTGGACATGTGGTTTTATTTATTGATTTTGGCAGCAGCTTGGGCACTCCACAGGGGAAGAAAAGTCACTGCAACCATGGGGGAAAATAAATGGAAAGGAATTTAAATATTTGGCCTGAGAAAGGAGTGGGTGTCTGCGTGACGCACAAACAGTGGCAAGGCCAGCCTTTAAGAACCGGCCTCGGCCCCAGGCGTTTCTGGACAGCCCCTCTTACAAGTCCTCAGCCACAAAGGCCTGCTGGGCACTGGGAAACCGTTGAGGAGTGAAACTGGGATCAGTCTGAAGTCTCTCCTGCAGATCAGATTTCAACTGAAAAAGAAAGGTGGGGGGAAAAGCAGAGCATCAATCCCTTGGGCAGATACCCCTTTCTCTAAGAAAGCATCGCTGTTACCTGCCATTACACCCCCTACCCCACAGCCAAGAAAGAGGAAGCACAGCCCACCTGCTGCTGGTAGCTATCTTGCAACGCCGGTTCAGCAAGGTCTCGGTTCAGACTCTCAGCACTCGTCAAAGGTTTCACTCCGGCTACTCTCGCAGCTTTGTTGACGGCCTCTGACAGAAGTAACGGGGGGCCATCACCCTGCATTGTCTGCAAGGTTTTAAAAAAAACAACCACCTTCTAAGCAGCAACTAAACATATAAAAAGTAAGGTTCCAATAGAAGAGAATATCTGAAGCTCGGGGCCCAACTGTGGTGTTCTTAGCGCTCTCCGAACTTGGCTGAACCACACTCACACTGATGGTATTACCTAGTTGGGTTATGAAACGTCTGCAAACAAACAACCCAGCTCGGAGGGCACCAAGGACTCCATAAAATAAGGTTTTGCTGTAATTGGTGGCACCAGGGAGGACTGCACGCTTCAGAAGTGATTCATAGGACTTGCTTTGGAACTTGGGTGACTCTGTGAGCAAAGTGCCCTTCAGACTCACTGGATCGCTCAGAGCTTAATGCTCTGCCCAAACCTGAAAAAAAGACCTGCATGCTTTAATGAGCAGCAGAGCTGCTGCGCTAAAACTGAAACACTTCTGATCATTATTAAAGCATGCATAGCCCTCATATATGCACCTATAATATTTATTGTGTGTGTGTGTAAGTCTTTCTGTCTGTGATTATGCTATATGATATCTTCTCGGCTGCCATGTATTTTAATTTTTGTTTTATCCTAATTGTTTTTATTTTAATTTCGCTGTCCAGAGTCACCTGTTGAGCTGGGTGGCCATACAAATTGAATGAATGAATGAATAAAATAGATACACTTATGAAATCCATAAACCCAAGAAGAGCAGATGTCATGGACAGAACTGAAGCTCTCTGAACCCCCTCTCCATCAGCAGCAGACAAAAAACAAAGGGCCCTGCCCCAGTTGTAATAGCCAGGGGCGTCTAAATTGACCAGTGGATTTCACTTCTACGCGTCTGTCCCACTTTTATAGCCGCTAATTCAAGCTCAGCATTTCTCCTCTGACAAAGCAGACAAGGAATGGAGCTTTAACCCTTAAGACTGGCCCCCACCTTCAGACTTTTCTGGAAGGCCCTGAACATGTGGATTCGTCAGTGGGCCTGGGGACCCCAGGCTGATACAGAGCTGATCAAATGGTGAGTCTGAGTGTGTTGTTGCCACCAGGGGGTGGGCATAGGGTTTACTGGTTTGTATTATGGGTTTTAATTCTGTAAGCTGCCTGGAGTCACCATGTGTGAGTTGGGTGGCTGTATAAATTTGATAGACAGACAGACAGACCGGCAGACAAACCCTTTATCAAAGAGTCACTGGATTTTGAGAACAGAGTTTCAAAATCTTTGCTCGTTTGGTTTACCAGAGAAGGGAGGATCTGTGGCTTGCTGGTGACTGCTTTCCCCCAACAAATCCTTTCCATAGGGAAGTCAGAAATGAGTGTTCCCAAATGGGGGCACCGACAAAGACAACTGAGAAACATAGTAATAAAAACTAACTTAAAAATCCCGGAGATCACCAAGTACACACAACCTTCTCCAGACAAAGGCACTGGGAAGTGCTTGTCTTAAGGTGTAGAAGTCTTCAAATGGAACCTTACTACTGTTTTCAGGCAATCTTTCTCACACATGACAACTCACTACGGAAGTCTGAGTAGGGCTCTGACTCCACTTATTTGATCAGATTAACCAACTTTCACACTTTAAGGCACTAGGTTGGTTTTCACAGCAGGTGGCAACATCCAGACCACCTTATTTGACCTCAGAAAATAAGCAGGACCAGACCTCGCTGGATGGCTCCTTACTAGATTTATACCCCACCTTTCCTCCAAGTTCTCAAGGTGGCATATGGGGACCTCCCTTCATTTTATCCCCCAAACCAACAATCCTACAAGATAGGACAGAAGACTGACTGGGTTAAAGTCACCAAATGAAGTTCCATAAGTAAGGGCGGACTTGAAGTTGAGTCTCCCTTTTCCAGTCCAACAGCTTAATTGTACACTGTGCTGACTCTCTTATCCAGAGACTTCAGAGAAGGGGCCATAAGAAATCTCTAGGCCAGTGTTTCTCGTGGCTGGCTGGGGAATTCTGGGAGTTGAAGTCCACCCATCTTCAAGGTGCCAAGGGTGAGAAACACTGCTCTAGGCTATAGGTTAGATTGAGAAGCTGAAAAAAATACCCCAGAAGGCAACAGTGGCCCCCAAACCCAACAGAGTCTATGTGGGCACCAAGCTCAACCGAAGGGTGGCTTGCTTCTAATCCCTAGCTGAGTGAAATACGAGCTAGCTGGAGGCCAAGACAAACACTGTACAGCATGCAAGAGACCCGTGAATCAGGCTGGTAGGGGGCGGGGAGAAAACAGGCGACTGGCTGCTCCTGCCCACCCTCCAAGAGGGCCCGGCCTCACCTTGCGCCGCTTAGCTGGCATGCCGCTCAGATAAGCGTCACTGAGGGGAGGCTGTTGCTTGAGCTTGCGCTGGCTCTGGATGTCCTCCCGGATGATGGGCACCCACTCCTGGCAGAGGAGAAGGGGAGAGTAAAGATCTGCACTGGGAAGGATCCCTCCTCCCTTTGTTGCCCCTCTCCACCCCGGGGAACTCACGGGGGGCACAGCAGCGGCCCAGGGCTCCACATCAGGCGCAGGGGGCTCCCCTTGCTGCAATTCCTCATGTTCCGGCTCCCCTCCTCGCTGCTGGGGCATAGCTTCCTCTGCTGTGGTGGCTGGGGCTGGGGACGCTGCAGTATCTCGCTGCGAAGGAGAGGAAAGAGAAGGGACACGCTAAGAGCCCCACAAAGCCAGACCGGGCTGTTGCACCACGGTCCACGCGGGGCTAGCCTTGAAGCCTACTAATGAGCTGCCCTGCTTGATGGTGAGCTTCAGGGTGCGATTCCAGGTGCTAGTTATCAACTATCAAGCCCCACCCCGCACACAGGCAGTCCTTGAGTTAAGACGGCAATGGGGATTGCCAGGATTGCCATCGCGAAACAATGCGGTCGTAAAGTGCAACATCATGTGACTCTGAGACGTGTGAGTTGTTAAGTGGGAAGCAGTGGGAATCCCAGGTAAGGAGCACAGGGGTGCCGTGGGTGAGACTAAGGGAAGCCGGGTGCCGCACAAGTGAGGGAAGGAGACTGGCTGGGGGGGACTTGCAACATTCCCTGCTAGCTTCCCCACTGACTTTGTGGGTGGTGCAATGGCCACAACTTCGAGGAACAGTCATAAATCCCACTCGTTCAGCACAGTCGCAACTTTGAACAGTCGCTGAACAAGTAGTCGCTAAGTGAGGATTACCTGTAGTCTCTACCCATCCCACAGTCTGACAGAGCTGGCATGTTCTGTTTAAGTATCACCTGGTGAGACCCAGGAAGCTGACCTTTCTCTGTCATGGTGCCTGCCCTCTGAAACACCATTCCCTCAGTTTCATAAAGTTCCACCTCAGCCCCATTTCAACCTGGCTGTATGACCAGACTGTGGGTTAGAATGGGTGACAGACTTTTTACGGAGTGTTCTAGTTTTTTTAAAATGATTGCTGTTTTTTTCCCAGACTTTTTTTTTATGATATATTCTGTGTTTTTACTGGTGGCTACAGGTCAAGATGTAGAACCAAGAAGACTGATTGAAACTCCTACTTCTGCTACTTTTATTCAATGGTTCCAGAGGGGAAAACTTCATTCCTCCATCTACAGTGTAGAAGCAGTACCTCATGGTAAGGAGCCCCAGTCACAATGCATCCCACTTTTGAAAAATCTGAAGATCTCTACAGATACTAATCATCACCCACACCCTCCAAGCTCCACGATGACCTCCCACTTGTGTGTGAGTACATACCGAGATAAATCCATTGCACAGACTGCCAAGAGGTGTGCTGCCAAGCCCCTCCCACTGCATACCTGCAAGGTCTCTGGAGGCTGCTCTGCCACCTGGAGGTCCATGGGCTCTTCAGGAGCAGGCTGAGAAGATGCAAGGAGAAGGTATCAAATCCACTGTAAGTGCACTCGGGGTCTTTAACTGCCATCTTCTTCTTCTTCTGGGCCCTGCTCTGCTCCCACCCAGCTTCTTAGAGGCAAAGCAGTATTATACTGCAGGACCATACAAAATCTTAACTAGCTTCCAAAGGATTTAATTGCAAAAGAATTGAAGGCTGTTTTTTTTAAGTAGGTAAGAGATGCTAGGATTACAGTGACCATACATCCTTTATTATAAAGGATAGTCCTTTATTTCAGACAGCTATCCTTTAGATTTATTTATTTCTCAAAAACTCACTTTTGTCCTTTATTTTGGGAATTTCATTTAACTTTTACTATACAAATGGTACCACTTAATGCAGAGTCTTTCATTGTGTGAAAAATATGGAAACTGAATTGTCTTTTTAAAATAAATGTACGTATACTGCTTGATTTTAGATGTTTTCATTAGAACATGCATGTTTGTAATGCTTGGTTTTGCTCTTGAATTTTCCTTTATAAAGCAAGGTTATAAACATAAACAATTAAATATTTC